ATTTTGAGTCGTTATTATTGGCTCAGAGGTAAAAATTTGAGCACGCAGTAAGCTAAGATGCATGCTATTATTAGTCAGGGCATAATTAAGATAAGAATAAGTAATATAAATGTAATGGAAAAATGATTCAAGAGATAACAAAATTGCAAAAGATGTGAAAAGCAACAAAAAGAATTTAAACTATATGAAAAGTTGGAAAAATCAGATACTAATTCGAGGGCTTCGGAAAAATAAAAATGGATTACTACGAAAGAATTAGAGCCAAGGGGAGGATCTAAATATGAAAAATAATGGAAGATAAACAACAGAAGAGAAAAAAAATACATGCAATTGGGTAAAAAAGAAAATAATTACCTGAGGCCCCACAACTTGACTAAGCAGAGCAGATGCAGCGACATTTGGCCTGGACGAAGGGAATTGAGGAGCCACAATATGTTGGTGTTTGGTTACTCGCGGAGTGGACGGCCCGCCTTGAGTAGACTTCCTGGCATGCGATGGATCAAGTCCTGAGGGAGTTGACGTGGTTGCTACAGGGGGAGTGACGGATGGCGCTGCCGGTGGAAGTGCGCTAGACACTTCAGTCTGGAAAGTTGAAGATGAGTTGGTGCGTATTTGTGGTAATGCAGAAGGGGTAGCGATGGAGCATGATGTAGTGGAAAGAGATTGCAAGAAAGGCGAAGATGAAGAAGATAGTTGATTTCCATTGGAAAAAGAATAGAGTCGCTGATGAGCCCATAAAACCTTCACAGCCGAAGAATCAGCAGATGGAAGTAATTGAGTGTAAGCATGCAGAGACATTGGCATAGATGAGGATGTTAAGAGTGAGGTAGCCGAAGACGTAGTTGTACTATTTTTAGTAGATTTAGAAACAGAGGATACTGCACATAAGGCAGAGCTAGAAACCAAATCAGACAGAACTGGTCGGGGGAAAGGCTGTGAGGAATTAGCAAAACTGTGATGCTGACAAGGGTTCTGCATGCACAAAGAGTTAGAATTCAGACAAGTGATCAAATTTAAGAATATAATTTATAAGCATTGCTTAGCCCTAACTTGGAAGAATGATGGGATATAAAAATAGTATTTTGAATAAGAACGAAATACAGATAGGTAGATAAGAAAAAAAGAATAAGAACTCTATGCAGGACTAGAAATTAGTAAAAAGTAAGGGATCAAA